TCGAACACGGGCCCTTGGGACTACGACTCCCGAGCATTCCACTCAGCCTCCCTGTGTGTATTTACTATTTGTATCTGTAAAATTGAGCTATTTTAGCTCTTAGACCCCGCCTTTCTAACCAATTTATTTTTCCTCTATTATGTCTACAACATATATTTATCTTACACACAATTACTTACCTCGATTACGTATACAAAGTCCACTTGCTGCATTTGACGGTCGTCTTTTGTCAATTTTAGCCTCGACTCTGTGGCATATTATAAAATCAACAATGAAAGAATTTATGAGTTTTGGTAGGTGGTTGTAGTAAATCAGAAGCCTAGGATTGATTCATGTGGAATTCGGCATAATACTTTTCATTCCAAATTCTCCCCCACCACTGTGGCTCTCTGTTTCCTGTCTGTTAGATATTCTCTCGTCTACTGTAGTACTTTACTGTGTATACCAATGTAATCCACAACACCATAGAACTTAAAATCTAAACACAGTTCGGAAATCTTAACTTTAGCACCTATACGAACCAATCCCGCGTGAGCTTCAGAGATACACCTACCTGCCTACTGGGCACAGTATTGAGGAGAGGCGTTGGTTCAACACACCTTTCTACCCTTAATAATTGTGTAACTAGCGTCAACAATTTTTTTTTGTTTGCTTAGCTAAACGAACTAGAGGGTTCAGTTCCTGAACCGATTATGTGCCTCTGTAATCCTTTACACCACTGCCCATTGGTTGGGTATGGGGTGCATAATAAAAAAATAAATTGAATTGAATTACATTACCCATCATCCAGTTCCTCGTGTTGCACGTAAAGGAGCCTTCAAAGATACCATCACCCAAAATTTTGTAATGGAATGAAAAACGTCATGCTTATCTTTGTACTATGGGTCCATAAAAAAAATGGGAAACTTGGAAACAAGTTAGATATAAAAGTAGAGACATTGATGCAACGATGACCAGATTAAAGTCATAAACAGCATGACCAAACTGGCATCACACAGCTCTAAATACAGAACAGACATCAATGAACTCTGCATCCACTGTCAGGTGCCTGAAACAATCAAACACTACCTCCTTCACTGTTTCCATCATCATAGTGCCAGAGTAAACTTCAAACAAGTATTTATCGCACTTAAAATACCCTTTACCATCGAGCAAATATTAGGAGGTGACCTCTCGTTACATGAAAAATATCAAATAATCAAAGCTTTGGCTAAATATCTCCAGTCGACCAACAAATTGTTCCACATTTGACCCTGTGCCACATTTAAACCTGGCGCCGCCAACAGCTAAACACAGAAAACGCTATGCGCCTTGCCCGAAACGCTATGCGTATTAGTAGCTTTAGGTATTGTATGTACTAGCTCTATCTATCAATCCAACATCATGTTTGTAACTCTTCATCAGTGTATGTACTTTTACCTGAATAAAAATTTGAATTTGAATTTTGAAAACAACTGCCAGGCCGCCGCACCAAGGATCAGCTGACGCCATAAACGCAACATCCCGCCCAACGGTGCGGCAAGTCTCCCTCTACCACATGTCTCTGTTTAGTCCCCGCTCCTCTATCAACACCACAACACAACAAATACTTGAAAGCTTGTTATTATCAACATTAACGCGTCCCCCAACATTTGTACTGAAGAATGTTGACCAGACCACACACGACGACGTTTCGATCCGTCCTGGACCATTTTCAAGTCGATCGACTTGAGAATGGTCCAGGACGGACCGAAACGTCGTCGTCCCTTCACCTTCTAGTGTATGGTTTGGTCAACATTCTTCAGCCACGTTATTGTGACTCATCGTCTGCATTTGTACTGATACAATCATCGGGAGGATAAACTCTTCATGCAAACTGCACGTATCATCAAGAAGAAGAAGGCGTTGGTACGACGTTGAAGCAACACTGACGATGCTGATTCGGTGTTGAATTGGCGTTGTTCTTGGATACTGCGTCCACTGGGCAACGGTTCCCCACCGCCAGAACAAACCAGACTTCAACGGAGCCTTAACCCGCGACACCTGACTACAACAGTGAGACGCGATTACCTACAAAGTAACTGTTCTTTGTTGATGTTATTGCCCTACTCTTTCCCCACGGTGCGGTGGGCTGCCGCTGACAAGCTAGGAGAGCTAGGTGGGCGTAGCTAGGTGGGTGTGGCTAGGTGGGTGTAGCTAGGTGGGCGTAGCTAGGTGGGCGTAGCCTCTTCTGTTTGTTGGTGGTGATAGTACTTACCTATCAGTGTCTATGGGGGAGTGAGGTCTAGCTCTTTAATGCCCCGCCTACTAGCCTTGTTGTACCTGAACATTGTCCTGAAGTAAACTTTCAGTGTATATACACCGGGAAATGGGGCTACACTTCTGAGAAAATATATCCATGTTTATCCTAATGACGTATTCGTAAATTATAATGTTCTGCGGACACAAAATTTATATTTTTCTCGATTGGGAATTAATATTAATGTATATTGTAATTTCATGTATAGTTAGGCCTAGGATAGGTTCTGTTTCGGGTCTGTTGAAATTATTTATATTTGCGGTGTGTATGTGAAGCATTTAGAATGGTGCGGTTCGAAAACGGGAAGAGAGCAATCAGCTGAGAGTCGTGTGAAAACTGTTTTCCATTCATACACAACAATTTTGGAGGCTGAATTAGGGTGCCTTTACCGATAGTTTATAAGGAGGGGCTGGTAAACTATACCCCGCATTACTGTGACAAAATATATGTAGTTGAAACATCCCGAAACTTAGATCTACGAGGCTTGAATTCAAATATACCTGCTGAGTCAATACCAGCAACACTGCTCATGTCATACACAGGAACCAGAAACACCTCATGAAACCCCGGAAGTGATCCCTTAGCCTCCAGTAGGCGTGATAGCACAGAGAGAGACACACACAGTACACAATACACGAGAAAATACACACTTACTGTTGGCCGTCTTGTTCATCCGTAGCCTGGTCTGCGGCGTGAGAGGCCGGCAGTACATCTGACCATCTTCCCCTCTAGGCTGACCTTCCAAACAGCGTACGCCCATACCCACGCCCTGGTCGAGTCCTAGAGCCACGTCCACATCCAGGAGGTCCTCCTTCACCTCGTAGCTCACGTCCATGGCATCGAGGGTGGTGGAGGAAGTGAGAACTGCGACACAGGCCAACACTGCCATCGTAGTCGATACTGTCGCCACCGACATCTTGTCTGCTCTGGTCATCGGCTGTTATTGAAAACGACGCTGTTTTGTTGCGTGGGTTGCCAGCCAGTGCTTAAGGCGTTACCCCTGTTAATGTTCTGAGTGGCACTCCAGTCGTGTTTCTTAGGAATAGTGCAAGTACAACTTAATTCAAGGGCTATCCTAAAACTTGAGACCTGAGCTTAAGCAGCACTGCGAATACAATATTCAATGGCTAGCTTATAGGCCGCGAATTTTTATCGGGAGAAGCATACGATGGTTAGTACAATGTGACGAACCTTGGTTCTTTTTCACTTGATGTACGAGCAGGACCTTATTCGAGGATCATCTCAGGCCCCTCAAGCAAAACACCTTTGAGGACCAAGATTTAATGAAAATGATCCACTCAAATCGTGAAATTTGTTCCATTCAGCCACCTCAAGTGGGACTTCCCGTCCTCGAGGACCAACTCTGGGGCCTTGAAGGAAGGAGGTGAGTGAGTGAGTGAGCGCCAGGGACGGAACCCAAACATCAACTGAGCTCCTGGTGCCAGCCGGGAGGGCCAAGTCAGTCGCACCTCCACGTCATGGAGGAGGCAATGGTGGGGGGGGGGGGAGGGTGACAAAGCACTTTGGGAGGGGGAGGAGACAGTTGGAAAAGGGGGGGAACGAGGCAATAAGACATGGGAAACGATGCAGTATGGGAAGGTTTAGAATTGAATTGTTGAAAGGGAAAGAGGTAGTAAGGGATGGGGGAGGGGGTGATAAGATGTATTGACGGAAGGGAGAAGGAGACATTGGAGGATTGATCAATTCCGTAAACAAAAACGACGTATTAGGAAGGGTGGAGGCAGTATATCAGGAGCCTGGGAATATGGGGAAGGATTCTGGCTCACTATAGCCCGTGCTACATGGACATTTCTTTCTCAGTACCTTTTTATTTATTTATTTATTTATTTATTTATTTATTTATTTATTTATTTATATTTATTTATATATACCTAAATCTAACACAACAACATCGATGGGGAGGCGTTAGTGAGGTAAGAGGAGTACCGAGTAGCAATAGGAAGGCAGGGAAAGAAAAGGGGAGACAATAGGGAAAGGCAGCGGGGAAAATAGGGAAGTGAGATAGGTGAATGTGAAGGGTTGGGAGAGGAAGTTGATGTGTGGGTGAAGGAGTGAGAGTGAGGGGGGGGGGGGAGAAGGAGGTCCTGGGGTGGGTGGAGTCTAGGGAAAATGAGTGTTAGAGGCTGTGGAGGGGAAACAGAGAGCCTTCAACACCACTTCGTTCATTTCCGCTGCTCTGCGTGCGATCAATCGCACTGATATGATCTTATGTATGACCCTCTGTCCTGCGTGACAGTGAATACCAGCATTATCCTTACTTTAATAAGACTATCAAAATCCTCAGATTAGGCAAAATTGTAATTAATTTTGTCAATAAAGATGTTAATAATAATAACTGATATGACACGCAGCAAATATTTGTGCTAATTAAACAACCAATTTACAACACCGTTAAACAACTGGCTGGCAAACATCTCTAGCTATAAATGATTTAACAATATTTCGAGAATTAAACAACAAATTCTAAAAAATAATTTTTCGTATATCAAATTTCTATCGGAGTTTCCTCTCATTTGATATGAATTATGATAAGGTAAGAGAGGCGCACCTGAGCGATATGGTGTTAAGATAGAACGTAGACTAGTGTAATGTTCTGGTGAGTTGAGTGTGTGTGAAGCTGAACCAGCGTTATCATGGTGTGTTTACTATTTGTGTCTGCACACTCTAGCTCTTGGACCCCGCCTTTCTAACCAATCTCTATTATTTTCCTCTATTATGTCTACTACATATATTTCTCTCTAACACATCCCCGGGAAGCAGCCCGTAGCAGCTATCTAACTCCCAGGTACCTATTGGTGACCAAGGGGTTCGGTGGTAGGGAGGGCGGGGAGCGAGGCACCTCTCTAATGCCAGGTGAGTACGACGGGCTCACCATAGCCCGTGCTGGTTGCAACTTTGTGTTCAGAGTAGCTGAATCTAAAACACGAGGCAATGGGCAGAGTTTCGACAACAACAAGAGGGAGGGATGGGGATTAGAAATACAGGATGAGGATTGAGCATGAGTGGGATGAAAAGCTTAGCCTCGTGTCCACTCTGGGTGTGGTGTGGTAGTGTTAAGTGAGTGAGGTGTGGGCTGGCTGGTGTGTTGTGGTTGTGTTGAGTGAGGTGTGGGCTGGCAGGTGTGTTGTGGTTGTGTTAAGTGAGTGAGGTGTGGGCTGGCAGGTGTGTTGTGGTAGTGTTAAGTGAGTGAAGTGTGGGCTGGCAGGTGTGTTGTGGTAGTGTTAAGTGAGTGAGGTGTGGGCTGGCAGGTGTGGTGTCAGTGTTGGGCGGCCGCCGTTATTCTGACGTTTGGGCAGGTGACTGGCTTTTTAACGTAGTCTCTCCAAACATTAAGCTTCCTGCTCTGCTTCCTCTCAAGAGGTTTTTGTAGTTTTTTATACCTTTTATTTATTGATTTACTTGTATATACATAATTTGTTTCTTATTTGCTTATTTATTTACTTCAAGTGACAATTGGGTCTGAAGACCTAATCTTCTGGGTCGTCTGAGAGATCATTTAGGATACGGGTCTTGGGAAGTCCGAGCTCTTGAGTCTCCTTACCTCCATCTACAAACATATTTATGTAACTCTGGGTCTAGACACTGAATTACGGGTTATTCATGCCCGTGCCACCTTTTGAGTAGCTTAATCTTTAGCAATCAATCTTAGACACTCACGGGAGACATCTCCCGTCACGTAGGGTGCAGTCGCACCTCCACATATCTCCAGTATCAGCTCTTGATACTGGTAATGGCTCAAAAGGGCCACCACTTATGGGCTATTCATGCCCGTGCCACCTTTTGGGTGGCTTAATCTTCATCAATCTTCATCTTAGACACTCATACAGTTACAGCCCCGCTCCTGTGCCAGGTAAGTCCACTACGGGCTCACCATAGCCCGTGCTACTTGGATCTTTTTTTCCGAGTAGCTGAATCTACAACAACAACATCTTAGACACTGAACATTACTGGTGCACGGACCGAACCCTGTGGTACTCCGCTAGAGACAGCTCTCCAGGCTGACACATTGCCTCTGATCACTGCTCGCATTTCTCCCCGTTAGAAATGTTGTCACCGGAGCCAATAGTCTGCCTGTCACCCCCTCCTTTGTGTTCCAGCTCTCAGAACAGTCTCTTGTGTGGGACTTGGTCAAAAAGGCATTTTTTTTTTAAATAGATGCAATCGGTCCAACCCTTTCTTTCTTGTAGGATCTGTGGCTCTATCGTAAAATCTAGGAAGATTTGAACGCAAGATCTTCCCATCTGAGAATCTTATACTCTCTGTCCGTTACTATGTATTTTCTTATTAGGTATTATACCTTTTTATTTTACTTATTATTGTTAGTGATTTTACTACCTCGCTTGTCACCGATACACGTCAGTAACTTAGAAGGTCTTCATTATTTCTGTTTTTATTTGGAACTATGATTGACTTTTTCCATATGTTGGGAGAGGCTCCAGTTGTCTAAGGCTGTTATAGTGTGTGTGTGTATTTACTATGTGTGTCTGCAGAATCGAGCTATTAGCTCTTGGACCCCGCCTTTCTAACCAATCTATTTTTTCCTATATTATATCTACTACATGTATTTCTAACACGCACACACACACACACACACCCAGGAAGCAGCCCGTAGCAGCTGTCTCACTCCCAGGTACCTATTTACTGCTAGGTGAACAGGTGCATCAGGGATGAAAGAAACTCTGCCCATTTGTTTCCGCCTCGGTCGGGAATCAACTCGGCCCCTTAGGACTATGACCCCTAAGCGCTGTCCACTCAGCCGTGAGGCCCCGGGCCGCTGTCAAGTCAGCTGTGTGTGTGTGTGTGTACTCACCTAGTTGTGCTTGCGGGGATTGAGCTCTGCTCTTGCGGCCCGCTTCTCAACTGTCAATCAGTCAACTGTTACTAACTACTATTTTTTTCACACACACACACACACACACACACACACACACACACACACACACACACACACACACACACACACACACGCACACACACACACACACACACACACACACACACACACACACACACACACACACACACACACACACACACTTGTGTAAGGAATCTTTCAGAACATTATATACCACATATGTCAGACCAATCCTGGAGTATGCAGCCCCAGCATGGAGTCCATATCTAGTCAAGCATAAGACTAAAATGGAAAAGGTTCAAAGGTTTGCCACCAGACTAGTACCCGAGCTGAGAGATATGAGCTACGAGGAGAGACTACGGGAATTAAACCTCACTTCGTTGGAAGACAGAAGAGTTAGGGGGGACATGATCACCACATTCAAGATCCTCAAGGGAATCGACAGGGTTGATAAAGACAGGCTGTTTAACACACGGGGCACACGCACTAGGGGACACAGGTGGAAACTGAGTGCCCAAATCAGCCACAGAGATATTAGAAAGAACTTTTTTAGTGTCAGAGTGGTTGACAAATGGAATGCATTAGGAAGTGATGTGCTGGAGGCTGACTCCATACACAGTTTCAAGTGTAGATATGAGAGCCCAATAGGCTCAGGAACCTGTACACCTGTTGATTGACAGTTGAGAGGCGGGACCAAAGAGCCAGAGCTCAACCCCCGCAAGCACAACTAGGTGAGTACAACTAGGTGAGCACACACACACACACACACACACACACACACACACACACACACACACACACACACACACACACACACACACACACACACACACACTCACACACTCACACACTCACACACACACACACACACACACACACACACACACACACACACACACACACACACACACACACACACACACACACACACACACACACACACACACACATATAGGATAGGTTCGAAATTACAAGAGATGAGGTCAAGAAGCACCTATTGGAGCTGGATGTGAGAAAAGCTGTTGGGCCGGATGGAATCTCGCCATGGGTATTGAAAGAGTGTGCAGGAGCACTTTGCCTACCACTCTCCATAGTGTATAGTAGGTCACTGGAAACGGGGGACCTACCAGAAATATGGAAGACTGCTAATGTAGTACCAATATACAAAAAGGGTGACAGACAAGAGGCACTGAACTACAGGCCAGTGTCCTTAACTTGTATACCATGCAAGGTGATGGAGAAGATTGTGAGAAAAAACCTAGTAACACATCTGGAGAGAAGAGACTTCGTGACAACCCATCAACATCGGTTCAGGGAGGGTAAATCTTGCCTTACAGGATTGATAGAATTCTACGATCAGGTGACAAAGATTAAACAAGAAAGAG